TGTTTTTTGAAGTGCTGTTGTGTTTTTTGAAGTGCTGTTGTGTTTTTTGAAGTGCTGTTGTGTTTTTTGTAATGTTGTTGTGTTTTTTGAAGTGCTGTTGTGTTTTTTGTAATGTTGTTGCGTTTTTTGAAGTGTTTTTTGTAATGTTGTTGTGTTTTTTGAAGTGCTGTTGTGTTTTTTGTAATGTTGTTGCGTTTTTTGAAATGCTGTTGTGTTTATTGATTTGTTGTTAGTGTTTTGCACTTCATGGCCACCTTAGTGTTAGGCTATAAAGTCTAAAAACATGAATGGAAGTCAGTGGAAGTTCCCCACAGGGTCGGCTAAAATAAAGATGAAGTTTAAAAAAAGACCTTGTAAGAATATTTAAGCTGCACAGTGTTTTCATTAAAGCATGAACAGCATTTCACAGATGAGTATTTTACATTGTCCGAAATTTCTCTYGTTATCCTCCAGTATATAAACTGTAATATTATGATGATGAAACAATCCAAGAAGTGTTTTATTTTAGAGTTACAAAAAGTGAGCTTGGAAGTTGAGATATTTGATTTGTCCTGAAGTTGTGAACAGTACACGTTGATGCAAAAAGGTGCAATGATTTTATTTGTCCACTGCGAGGCACTAGTCCACTGTTTTAGCATAGACAACCTATTTGTGTTTCAGAGTTGTACCCATAAATTATATGTACATAGCTATGGTTATACCCACGTCATAAACGCGGCCGCCATCTTGGATGGGTCTTTTTTGCATCCCAGCTCATTTATTTGTACTGAGGAAGCGGTTTGCCCATAATCACAACTCCTCGTTTTCTCACCCAGTTTTCACACAGTTTGGTTTGTTACAAATAGTTGAGGTGTAGTTATGATACACATTAAAATACGAGCTTTCATGCAGAAATTATGTTCTTTAATAAATGCAAATATGGTATTAATAAAAGTAGCTATAAATGAATTAGAACAGAAATCGTCTTTATTGCCCCTCAATGGAGAAATTCAGGTGCATCAGCAGCAAAGAGACAGGCAATTTACACATGGAAAAATATATATAATGTTGAAATTTAAAGAAGAAATTTCGTATTTTAATAAAAAAAAATCAAGTTTGGTTGTTCCTTTGAATATATTTCTCTTTCACACAAACACAATACTGACCCGTAGACAGCAATAACAAGAATTTATTCATATTTTTGTTGTGAATGCACGATTGAACACACACACACACACATACACACACATGTTTGCACAGCTATCCAATTGGGGACATTGACTTCCATTACATTTCTACAGCCTAACCCTGACCACAAACCTAAGGCTAACCTCACAGGTACCTACCTGACCCTAAAACTAAC